TGGCGCCTGGCTTCAGATAGGCGCAGCTTTGGCCGTTGCGGCCAGTTGGGGAGTGAACCAGCGGACGAAAAACCTTTCTGTCTCTCCCTCTCACCGTCTGTATCTCTCAAATAAATAAATATTCTTTTTTTTTAAAAGAAAAATATTAAAGAGTGAAATTATTTGTAAATCTCAGTGAGATGAATTTATAGTATGATTAAAACCTTAATATCTTAAGAGAAACTTACTATAATAAAATAAGGAATGTGTAAGAGGTGAGCCTTTCTTTAATAAAGTGGGCAAAGGCAGAGTGAGAAAGCAGGCACTTTAACAGGCATATGTGGAAAAGGATCCCTTTAAATGATCAGTCCTAAGTTACCCTTGGCAGACTTTCATCTGATTCCACAGTACTCTAACCTCAACCTGAAGACTTGGACACTGAATAAACCAAAAATCCTGCACAGACCTCTTCAGCTGTACCTCTCACCATACCCCACTCTCCCACCAGAATTTATTATGTGAAACTTTTGAACGCTGTACTATTTCACATCCCTTGTCTCACCATCTTCTCTGTATCTGCAGGGTAACATCTATGAAAACTATTAATGTGAGAACGTCACCTTTTATATGAAGATGTACCCGAGTCTCCTATATGGAGTGAACCAACATTCCTTCATTCTCCCATATCATGTGCCAAATTACAGCATAACACCTCTAATACTCCTTTTATATAGTTATCTCTTTATTTATGGGAAACTCTTTGAGAAGGGCCTATTTCATTTACCTTTAAACTAATTTTGTACTTAGTACTCTATAAATAATAGCTGAATGAAGGAATTAAAAGAATATTCATCTCAGTTTTCTCACTGATAAAATTTCATTTGCAAGATCCTCTTCTAACTTTAAATAAATCCAATAACTGAATATTTTCTAAAATTCCTAAAAATGGTCTGATTTCAGATTACCTCTCTCCCCAGTATGATCTCAAAATAGGGAAAGCATTTTCACTATGTATTTTAAAATGCCCTTTGTGGTATTTCATAATGAAAGAAGTCCATTTTCTTAGTGATTGCATAAAAACAAGACTTTAATACATGACTCCACTATAATTCCTTGCATGCTTTATCGTCTATCTTTTCAGTAAAAGAGGCAGAAAGGTAAGCTGCCATAGGAAATTATTTCATTATCAGGCAAATTAAAGAGATTTACAGCATTATAATACCCAAGTTATTTTCAAATTTTCTGATACTCCATCTCTGTACATGCTTTTCTTCCAAATACAACTGTTAATTCCATAAAGCTCTGCTCCAAAAATCCAGTCTCACTAAAAATTATGTCATTGTTGGATAAGTGGTGAGCCACAAAATGGCAAACCATAATACTAACTAGCCCTGCAATTTCAAGGTAATGAAGATCAGATTTCATGTCTTAAATAATCATATTTGATATATAAAAATAATTACATCCCCAACTGGCTGGACTGGGTTTATAAACTGAGTCTACCCTTTATTCTGTGTCCTCAAATATTCATCCTGTATATGCCTGAGTTAAGCATATATATAAGCATTAAGCCTGAGGTTAAGTATATATAACTGTGTCACACAATATTACAGCCATTAGTTACATCAAGCTATTTAAATTTAAATTAAGTAAAATCTAATATTTAGTCCCTCAGTTGCACTGGACAAATTTCAAGGGCTCAATAGCCACACATCACTAAAGGCTACTATACTGAACAGTATAGATTAGTAATAAAAATAAACAGGATATGATTGAGAATAACAAGCAGAAGCAAGGGTGTCATATTGACCACTTTAATGAGAAGCCCACCCTAAAGAGTTGACATTTGAGCTAAAATTGAATGACAAAATGCAGCTAGCATTCAAAGATGTGCAAAGAGCACCCAAAGCCAGTCAACAACCAGAACAAAGGCCTCAGACACAAATGAGTTTGGATAGTTTAACAATATGGAGTATATGAAGCATAAGAAAAGGAGAGAAGTGAGAAGTCCAAAAAGTGCCAGGAGGCTGAGGCTCAAGGCCTTCTAAGCCACATAAAAGCTTTGGATTTTATGTTAAACACAATCAACATGAGAATCTTGTGATTTAAGCCATGTCTTAAAACCTTCCTTCAACTGCTGTTGAGAACTAATTATAAGAAATCAAGAGTGGAAGCAGGAATATCACTTAGAAAACAGGTGCCACAGCCTGGGTTGAGAGATGGTGGCCTGGACCAGGGAAGTGGCAGTGGGATTAAAAATGTGCTCCTTTTCTCTACATCTCCTGGCCACAATCCTGGGATCTACTATCCTTCACAACAAAACTCCTTGAAATAGTCTACTTCATTTTTTAAATGCTTATTCTTTAACTTTCAGCTAATTGAAAGTCAGGGTGATAAAGACAGAGAGAGATCTTCCGTCTGCTGGTTCACTCCCCAAATGTCTGATCTCCATCCAGGACTCCCAGGGATGGCAGGCCCAACCATCTGAGTCATCATCTGCTCCCTCCCAGAATGCACTATGGAGAAAGTGGATTGGAAGTAGAAGTGGTGGGTCTTCAACAGGCACTTGGATAGGAGCTGTGGATTAATCCATTGCATCACCATGTCTAACCCCAGTTTACTTCATTTTTTAACTCCTTGATATCCTGTAAATATGCTTTCTGCCCCCAACATTCTACTGCAACTGTTCTAAGGTGTCAGTCACCTCGACCGTCCCAAAACCAATGAGCCCTCTTCTAACCCCACCTGCCCTGGCCTCTGCTGCATTTACAAAATTGCTGCCCACTGTTTGTCTTCACCAAACTCTCCTTCCTCAGCCCCTAGAACATCACTCTCACCTGGTTTTCCTCTCTGTTACTCCTAAGTCTCCTCCTCAGTAACCTCCACTTAGCTCAAACCTCTGTGCTCCTCTAAGGACACATCTTCAGCACTCAGTTTCAGTTCATAATACACATAATCCTTGGAACTGAATTGACACTTTTTGCTGGCTACTCCCACATAAACACCTCTTACCCAAGAGTCCCTGTTTTAAACCTCCATCTCTAGTGCTCAGCAGGACCTCTTCACTTGGAAAATCCAAACATTTTAAATGCAAAGGTTTCAAAATATGTCCCTTTCATTCCTCACATATCCTTGCCCATGACAAAAGCCTAACTCCTTCTCACCAGCTATAAACTCAACACCATGTTTTCATTAAGTCTCATAGATTCTACTTCCTAATATCTTTCTAATCTAGTTCTTCCTCTCAAATTCTATTTGTTATTTGAGTTCAAAAACACATCATGTCTTGGATTATTGGAATAGCTCCCAACCAGTTTCCATGCTTTGGATCTCCCCTCCAAACTGCTGCTAAGACACATTCCAAGTATTTAACAAATTGTTGATTTTGTGGAGTACAAATCTGCCTAGGTCATTTCTTCACTTCCAGAGGCACCTGACAACCTTCAACCTGGTTTCTTGTCATCTAGCTCCTTATTACTATTACAGCCTCATCTTCCCCACTCTTCCTTTCTCCCGCTCCTGTCCAGCCATTCAGCTTCCCTTGGATCTCTAAACACCATGTCATTTCAGGACTGCCTTCCTCTGCACATGCTATTACCTCTCCTTTATTCCCCTAACTACTATTTCAAAGGTAGGCTTAAGCGTGACCACTTCAAGGAAGTGCCTCATATATATCTCAATCACACCATCTGGTAGCTACTTAGTCTCTCTCAGCAAACCATAAGCTCAGAGGGCAGGGACCACCAACCTCCTTTGGTTTGTGGCACCAATACTTGGCACAGCGTAGTCATGAACAGTTTTGATTTGATATCGTCTAAATTTTAAAGTGAGAGAGGAGCTTATTGTATGGTCTTTATATCATCATTCCAGCACGGCACCAAGGAACAGCACTAGACTACAGAGCTTCATACTGGAAATGCAAAGAGAACAACACACACAAAACACACCCATTCAAAAAGAGAAATGTAGGAAATTCTGAAGTCATGCAACATCTAATAAATCAGCCCTGGGATTTTATACTGCGGGGAAAGACTTACTTAACCCTGCGTGATACTAATTGGTGGAAGACTTCTCACTTCAATAAATCAAATTAACTTTTCTTGGCCATATCACTGTAATTTTAGTTCTTAATGTAGACTCGCACTCCCTGACAGGTTGTTTTCCTTATTTAGGAGACGCTTACTCACCACCTTGAGTCGCTCACTTGTCAATCAGCCATTAGTTCTGTGAATCTGAATGGGGGAAAGGGGATAGGGGAAGCGATAGTGGGGATGATAAAACACTTCTGGAAGGGGGAAGTGGCAGAACGCCACATTTCCAAGGGTGGAGAGTAGGTGTTGGGGCCAATCCCAGGGTGGAGCGTGGACATCTGGCAAGGAATGAGAAGGAGGAGGAGGCGATCACCGAGCAGGTAGCACGGAACGGGAGACAGGGAAGGGGAGATGGAAAAGGCACTCTGGAGAAAGATAGCTCGGAAGGGGGTGGGGTGTAGAATGGTAATAGGCAGAAGCCAGAGGAAGCCAGGCGCAGTTTGGGGGCAAAGGGGCTGAGAAACAAAAGCTGGGGCCGGAGGGAAAAAACAGCGACGCTGCCTCGGCGGACCGGGCTTTAAGGAGAGGCAGGCAGGGGGTCGTCCCAGCGCCAAGAGGAGACGCAGGGGGAATTAGGGACCCAGTGGTCAGCTGTGGGCAGCTCGCAGCGAGTACGAGACCGGAATCCGCCCAGCAGAGGCCGCGGGAGGCCGGAGAAAGGGTCCGCAAGGTGAGGGGCACTTACTGGGGTCCCTCCGCACGGCGCCGCTGGGGGTCTCCTCCCGCAGGTGAGGGAAGAGGAAGTCCCGGGCGGCCTGGAGGTCCTGGAAGTAGCAGAACTGGACAATGGAGCAGGCCATGGCTCCGGGGAACCCCGCTCGGGTACTCGCCTTACCTCGCCACTCCCTGCCCCCTCCACCCCACCGCGGCCACCGCCAAGCCCCAACAGCTTTAGCCGCGCAGGAGGCGGGGAAACCAAACAGGAAGCTGTCAGCGCACTTGGGGTTACCGCCCCGTAGAGCTGCGCGTGCGCAGGACGGGCTGACGCCGAGGAAGGCTGTGTCCGAGCCACGTGATCAGTGAGGCCGCAGCCAGAGAATTTGTCGTCGACGTGGAGGCTGGGGTAGGTTTTCAGTTCTAGTTCTGCGCGTACAGCGGCAATGAACCCTTTCATTCATTCTGGCTTTTATCCAGAGATGATCTAATTGGACGTTGTCCACGCGCGCCTTTGAGTCATTCAGCTAATCTTAACTGTTTTCCTACCATCAGCACAATCCCAATATTTCATAGAGAAGAGGCTAAATTTGTGGCAGACCCGTGGAGACTGTATTGTGCAAGTATCAGATTTTGGAAAACATTCATTTATCTTGAAATCACCTCCGTGAAGGCTAGTTTTAAACGCCCCTCCTTTAAATTCCCTTTGCACGAGGCACACCTGTTACTTGTGTAGGAATTATACTTTTTTAGATTTTCAGCTGGCATCCTTGGCCGCCGCCTCCCAGGGTATGCATTGATAGGAAGCTGGAATCAGGAGTTGGAGCTGGGAATGACTCCCAGGCTTTCTGTGTAAGACACAGGAACTTAACCACTGGACTAAACGCCATCTCGCGCGTTTTGTTTGTGAAAGTACTTGGGTAGTCACGAATGCCATCTTGAAAAAAAAGGTGTTTTGTTTCTATTTTTAAAATGAAGTTTGTGTCTCTCTGAGGAAACTCTCCAAGTCTGTTTATTTTCTAAAAAACAAAAAGGAATTGTTTTAATGTTAACACAAATGACAGTAGGCACTCACACTTTCCCAAGGAAACCTAAACAGGTCACCCTCTTTGAGAGAGAAAATGGCACAAGAATGTATGGAAGTCAAACAGATGTAGTCCAGAGCATTCTTTCTTTTTTTTTTTTTTTAAAGATTTATTTATTTGAAAGGCAGAGTTATATATAGAGAGAGGGAGAGGCAGAGATCTTGCACCACTGCTTCATTCCCAAAATGGCTGTGATGGTTAGGGTTAGGCCAGGCTGAAGCCAGGAGCCTGGAACCCGGTTCAGGTCTTCCATTTGGGTGGTAGACAACGCAAGCGCTTGGGCCATCTTCCACTGCTTTCCCTAGCGCATTAGTAGGGATGGATCAGAAGTGGAGCAGTCAGGACTGTAACGCCTATTTGGGGTACAGGCATCACGGGCAGCAGCTTAACCTACTGTGCCACAACTGCAGTCCCTAGAACATTCTTTTTTTTTTTTTTTTTTTTTTTGACAGGCAGAGTGGACAGTGAGAGAGAGAGACAGAGAGAAAGGTCTTCCTTTTTGCCGTTGGTTCACCCTCCAATGGCTGCCGCGGCCGGCGCGCTGCGGCCGGCGCACCGCGCTGATCCAATGGCAGGAGCCAGGAGCCAGGTGCTTTTCCTGGTCTCCCATGGGGTGCAGGGCCCAAGTACTTGGGCCATCCTCCACTGCACTCCCTGGCCACAGCAGAGGGCTGGCCTGGAAGAGGGGCAACCGGGACAGAATCCGGTGCCCCAACCGGGACTAGAACCCGGTGTGCTGGCGCCGCTAGGCGGAGGATTAGCCTAGTGAGCCGCGGCGCCGGCCGAACATTCGTTTTTATCAGGCCGATGTATACACTTAATCCTAATAATACAAAACTATAACTTAGTGCTCAGGTTTCCACTTCATTAATTCCTGTTTCTAGAGTAGAATGAATAATTTTTCGCAGAACTGAGTAGACTATTTCTATTTTTGTCAGGTTAACAGAGATGAATTCTTCACCTACAAAATACAGACTGGATTATATGTGCTTTAAGCATGAAGGATTTAGAAATTCCTTTTTTTTTTTTTTTAATTTGAAAGAGCTAGAGAGAGAAGAGAGAAGAGAGAGAAGTCTTCTATCCACTGGTTCTCTCCCCAAATGGCCACAATGGCCGGAGCTGAGCCAATCCAAAGCCAAGAGTCAGGAGCTTCTTTCAGGTGCACTGACCCAAGGACTTGGGCCATCCTCTGCTACTTTCCTAGGTGCATTAACAGGGAGCTGGAATGGAAGTGGAGCAGCTGGGACTCAAACAGGTGCCCATATGGGATGCCAGCTCTGCAGGCCAGGGCTTTAACCCACTGTGCCACAGTGCTGGCCCCAGGGATCTAGAAATTCTAAAATCAAAGACTGCAGAAAAGGCAAGCTGCCAGTATTCCCTTCTTCCATCTGTAGGATACTCTGGTTCTGATAAGATTATTCCCCAAGATCCAACACCGATAGCAAATAAATAAAATTTAAATTTAGATCCTTAGCTTTACTTGGTTAATAAAAAAATATAGGGGTAGGTTTTGGCCTAGCAGTTAAGATGCCTGTATTCCATATCAGAGTGCCTGGATTTGAGTCCTGGCTCTGCTCCCAATTCCAGCTACTGTACATTCAGGGAGGTACCAGGTAATAGCTTAAGTATTTGGGTCCGTGGATTTTGGTGGCATTGAGTTCTAGTGTTGGATTGAGTTCCCAACACTGGCTTGACCTAGTCCCCACTGTTGCAGGTATTTGGAAAGTGAATCCCCAGATGGGAACTCTCTCTTTCTCTCTGCCTCTCAAATTTAAAAACAAAACAAAACAACATTTTCTGAAAGAAAAAGGTGTCATTTCATGTAAACCATTCATGTTCCTATTCAGGTATATGCATTTTGTAGAAGTCACTGTCCTTGACTGGATTTAACAGGTCTCTGGTCTGCCCTGAAGCATTCATATATCTCCCAAGTGGCATTGAATTTCATTACTGTGTTGGCTCAGTTTCAGCAGTGAAGTCTGACTTCCTTCCAAGCAGTATTGAAAAGGTTCATTCATGAATCTTTTTAAGGACTCGAGATACCCTTCACAGAAAGCACAATACATTCACAAACTGGACTCTTCCCCAAGGAAGTTGTGAAGCTGCAGGAAGATGCCTCAGGAGTTGTATGGTGTGCAGGACGATTGTGTCAGACAATGTATATCACTAACCAGTCAGAAAGCACATTGCAGAACATGTGCAGGCCTTACATATCCCAACACAGCCAGAATGTCTTTGAGATATGAGTTCAGGAACTCAGAAAAACATTTTGACAAAAATAAAATAAGGTGAAGGCCAGTGTTGTGATGCAGTGGGTTAGGATGCTGCATGCAAAATGCCCATTCGGGTCCTGGCTGCTCTACTTCTGATCCAACTCCCTTCTAATGCTTCTGAGAAAGCAGCAGAAAATGGCCCAAGTGCTTGTGCCCCTGCCACCCACATGGGATACCTGGATGGGGTTCCTGGTTCCTGGCCCAGACCCAGCCATTGCAGCCATTTGGAGAGTCAACCAGCGAATTGAAGATCTTGCACTCTTTCTCTCCATCTCTATCTATCTATCTATCTATCTATCTATCTATCTATCTATAGCTCTGCCTTTCAAATAAATAAATAAATCTTAAAAAAATAAAAAGTAACAGGAGGTCTCCAGGTACCAAGGTGAACTTTCTCCTGTATCCATTACTGCGAGTTAAAGTTCAGATGACTGTCAGAGAGATGCTGGAGCCACATTGTGATATAGTAGGTTAAGCCATTGCCTGTAACACCGGCATCCCATATAACATCAGTTCAAGTCCTGGCTGCTCCACTTCTGACCCAGCCCCTACTAATGGCCCAGGAAAGCAAAATAAGATGGTACAAGTCCTTGGGCCCCTGCCACCTATGTGGGAGACCGGGAAGAAGCTCCTGGCTCCTGGTTTCTGCCTGGCCCAGCCCTGGCTGTTGTAGCCATTTGGGGAGTAAAATAGAAGATCTCCCTTTCTCTCCCTGTCTCTGTAACTTTGCTTTTCTCTCTTTTCCCCCCGTCTCTGTAACTTTGCTTTTCAAATAAAATAAGTAAAATCTTACTGGGTATGATTAGCAATGGGTTCCTGCCTCCTCAGGCTTAAGAGTTTGAGATGCAGGATAGGCAGCAAAATGTAAGAGCACCAGCAATGGACTTGAACTCAGGAAACCTCAAAGCTATCTCAGCTTTGTCACACATCAGTCTCATGACTTTAGACAATGCATACTACTCTGTGGGCTTTAGTTTCTTGATCATGCCACAGCATCGGCCCCATCAATGGAGTTGTAGTATTCAATTAGACACCTATGGTAGAAGAGAAAATAAGACTTACAATATTCTTCAAGTATTTAGTCTACAGAACTGGGAGAGTGGCAATGTCATGTCAGCAACCGGGATGGACAATGCAAAAGGAAGAATGGATTTGGGGCAAGAAAAGTAGAGGCTGAATTTGGTTTTGGATTTGTTAAATGTGAAGTGCCTGTGGAAAAGCTGGTTTTAAAAAATAGTTGTTTTATAAACAGAAGTGAGAGTTGAGGGAATTGAGATGCCAGATCTAGAATCTAGCTCTGGATGTCATTCACAGAGACTATGAAGAAGGGAAGGAGTGAAAGTACCAGTGGAATCTGTATGGGGTAGGATGGGGATTGGCCCAGGGAAGCAAGCTAGGGGCACTTTTTGGTCTTTCCTGCCTCTTTATTGTGTCCTATCTGGAATTTGATATGGCGATAGCCCTAGCATTCTCTGTAGTCTACAAAGTAACTTGAATTATAGAACAGAAAAAGTATAGGAGCCTGAGTCTCTTCTGCTTCATGGAGCTGCCATGCCAAGCCTGAACTGCCACATCTTGACCTCTTCTGTGTGACAAAATAAATCTTTACATGTTTCAGCAACTCATATTTTGGTTTTACCATCTTGACACAATGTGACCCAAGCATCCAAGGGGAATTTTTATGCAGGATTATTGGGCTATTCTGTATTATTTAAAATAAAACCATTTTTATTATTCTGATATTCTTTCTCTCTGTCATAATTCAGTAGAGGTTAGACCAGTTATTGGGACATTTTTAATTGTTTAAATAATTTTGTTTTCATTTGAACATAAAAATATGCCCTAGGTGACCAGTTATTTCTTGTTTTCTTATATTTAGCATGTCTAAACAGACCTTTAAGTGATTCTGTGAAATAGAGGAATGTCCTTAATAGCGTTTGGTAGCTGAGTGGTAGGTTCCAACAAGAATTTTCTTAATGGAAAATCAAGGGCAGATTAGGAGAAGGGAAAACTTCCAGAGGAGTTGTATTTAAATCTAGGACCCCAAGTCC